AAAAGACTAAGTCCCATCGCCGAATGGGACTTAGTCTCTGCAGCTGAAATAAGGCTGAAAAAAACGGCTGAAGAAAAGACTAAGTCCCATCGCCGAATGGGACTTAGTCTCTGCAGCTGAAATAAGGCTGAAAAAAACGGCTGAAAAAAGACTAAGTCCCATCGCCGAATGGGACTTAGTCTCTGCAGCTGAAATAATTTCCCATTTACTGAACCAAGTGGGAAATAGCAAGGCAGGCACAAAGGTTTTGCACCAGGTCTGGGGACACAGGGACGGCCCGCCTAGCAAGCCGTGAACCTCAACAAAGTCTGCCAGACACGCCCTTTGGGGTAAGCAGTGTCCTAATCTTCCTGATGTCCCAAAAAAGTGTTTAAAGGGCCAGCACCAGTACCATAAAGAGTCCATAAGCCACAATATGCCCACCCCACAGTCTTAAAGGGCCATACACACCAAATAAAAGTGCATACATTTTCACAATCTCCCAGGGGCCATAGTCATAAAGGGAGGAGGTTGGCAAAGAGGCTTCTCCACAACCCAGGGAAACAGGGTAATTTGTTACGAAGGGGTCTGCTACAAATAGCAGTTTGTAACAAGGTGTCAATCCATATCTGCCAAGTGACCCTATGTAGGGGGAACAGTCCCTATTCTGCTCTGTGTCCGTGTGCATCAGGGGCTCTGAGGACAGATGTCAATCCATATGTCAAGGTGTCAATATGTCATATGTCAGGTGTCAATCCATATTGATTGTGATTTAGGAATGTTAGGTGATTTATGCCCTTTATGGATTAAAACCAGACTCTGCATCAACTATGTAATTTTCCATGGGAGTTTTGCCATGGATCCCCCTCCGGCATACCACAGTCCAGGTGTTAGTCCCCTTGAAACAACTTTTCCATCCCTATTGTGGCCAGAAAGAGTCCCTGTGTGTTTTAAAATTCGCCTCCCCATTGAAGTCAATGGCGTTTCGGGCGGTTCGCCGGTTCGCGAACATTTGCGGAAGTTCGCGTTCGCCGTTCGCGAACCGAAAATTTCGGGTTCGCGACATCACTATGTGAGCTGTGTCGGCCACATAACACTGTTTCCAAATGGCATGAATGATGATAGGGATTTTGCCTGTTTTAGATAATGTATTTAATCTTTTTAACATTTTTTTTTTTGTTGGAAATTCTATGTTTGTCTTTTTTGTTCTAGTTCTTACTTATAATTTTTTTTTTTAATAGTTTTTCACACACAAGAAGGGTGACAATGATCAGCAAGATCTGGAATAATAGGGAGTTTCTAAAGTTCAGTCCATAAAGAAACAGACAGACTCACAGTGGATACGACGATTTGCTTAGTTTATTTTTGGCTCTTTATATTTTACATTTTTATTTTTTGATGTACCCATACCATGAACTTGGGATTGGTTATTTCTTGCCAGGAGTCCATGGATTGGTTTACATCAATATTATATATTTTACTTTTTTATCTGTATATTTGTTTCTATTTTTGGGGATGTTAATGCACACATCCATGAATCTCGGGGAATTTCCCCGGGACCCATGGGTCTGGTATCCCATACACTTTTTTTTAATTTAATTTTTGTTCATTGTTTATTATTTCATATGTGCTTGTGCTTTTTTTTTTGTTTTGTTTTTTTTGTTATATATAGGGCCCCTATGTTTATGTTTATTATGTATATTATTTATATATGGCTACATGCTAACTCTGTTTATTCCACTATTTTCCTATGTGGTTAACTATGGAACAGTGTATGTATAACTTGTTAACTTATAGTTTGATGAAACCATATTATGTATCATATTGTCTAACACTGTGTATTATGGATCTGTTATAAGGTGGGGTATTGTGTACACTAGTGCTTGTTTAGAATCTTGGGTAATCTGGTCTAGATTGCATACATTCTGTGTATAGGTTATATTTACATACACACACAATACTTATATGATGTGCAGGGGGCTTGGTATAAACTGTCCGTTTGCAAAGTCTATAAAAAGCCGTTATGCTGTAGAATTATTTTCTCTTTTGACATATCAAATTTGGCCACTTAACTCTCCTGTAGTTATTCTGTACTACCGGAACACGTGATCACGTTAATACGTAATGACGTAATTTGATGCATGTGCTCATGACGTCACCAATACCTGAAAGTAACCTCTGGCAGTATACAGAAGATTCTACACATCATTACACTAATAGGGTTATTAGTTTGAATCTACAGGGTATATAAGTGGGAACATAGATCAGTCAGTAAGGGGTTCCCCAGAGGAAGGCTTCAGAGCCGAAATGTCGGGGTTTTCATTTCTTCTGCTCTTGGTCAGTATACCTTTTTAATGGGTGTTTGCATTTAGCACTTTATTATTATTGTGGTATTGGTGATGTAGATTAATTTAGAAATAAACAAAAATGTTTAAAAGTCTATCTGTTCCTGTCCAAATCTGAGATGAATAAATTGCGTATACGCAGAAGTAAGTTCACACTGACACATGCAGTTCAGGTTAAAAACACTTCAGGAAATTTATTAGCATCTAGTTAAAAAGCGGGCACGCAGGCCTTTTTATATGCAAAATGACATCATCATTGAATATCAGATAATAACAAATAAACATCATTAATTGGGTTAAATGTTAAGTGGCTATGTCAGTGTCCACCCATTAATATTATTAATTGGCTCAGAGATTTGAGTGACTAGTGAGGCACCCTCCCATCATGGGATGTCGTCGCCATTGCTCTTTAGCACGAGGCTTACTCGGTGGAAAGGGGGGGCTTGGGCATCATTTTACGTAGTTAGTGATGTCAGTCTCGTGGCCTGGTCCAAGGTTCTTTTATGAATAAAACATTTCATTTAGTCGCTGTTCTCCTGACCTTGGATTATACTATGTTGCAAGTCAACGGAGATCCGCTAACTCCGGGGCTAGTTATGTCCTTAGAGAGAGAAAATACAATCTCTTATTCATTATACTGAATACTGTCAGGAAATTCTGTCATGTAAGGTGAACAAAATGGAGAATTCTGTCATAGTGTGAGATTAAAATGGAGTTAGTACAATAATTCAATACAGGTTCAGTAAAGATTTTAATAATTCTACATCAGTAATAATTCTACATCATTGGTATTATAGATTGGATATGCACTACTTTATGCACTTTCTTTCTGTGAAAACCTATCGATGTATTTTCAATGCATGCATAAACGCTTTTTTATGTGCAAACTTTGGTGTGCCGTGGGATCATTATTATCTCTATTGTGTATATATATTCAGTGTGGGAACGGATTTTCTCCTTAAAGAGCACCCAGTACTTTTTATACCACATTACTTTTCACCCACCTTCAGTTGAGCTTTTCTTATAATTATATACTTGTTCCGCGCGCAAAGGAGCAGAGCGGGAGGATTACAGGTCCCTCGCTGCATCTCATGTGCTCACGTTGCCTGCCTTGAGGGTTCATAACATGACAGGAGGAAGCACCGGGTACATCCATACGAGCATTTTTAGATACAGCGCCTGCATTTGGGGGGGCACGAGAAGGGAGCTGTCCACCCCCTCTCTAGCGATGCCCCTGCACTTTGAATACTCAGTTCTCTGCCATTTAGGAGTTAAATTAGTTTTGTTTCTGTTTATGCAGCCCCAGCAAAAGCTCCCCTGGCTGTAACTCACACTCATATGTGACAGCACTGTGTGTTTACTTTAGAGGTTTTATTTAATTTAACTTTAATCACACACAGGAGGC